ATAATTAAAGTGGCCTGTCACCGACTTCAGTTAGCAGTCGATAAGACATTATCGTGTGTATGTTGTATATGCTTAATATTTTATTGCTAAGATTGCTGAGGGAACTTCACGGTCAAAGTGCTCTGTGAATATCGTAATTATTGCTAGAATGGGGCACTAGGTCCCTAGAAATTTATATTAGCAGTATATAGTGATAATGAGGCGAAACAAGGTGTAAACCCATGACACGACAACTAGGCTAATGCGCTCGCGCGCGCACACACACACACACACACACACACACACACACACACACACACACACACACACACACACACACACACACACACACCACACACACACCCAGACCCAGGAAGATCAAATACATCCTCCCTTACAACTTCCTATAGAAGCCCCCCAAACAGGTCAACCCCAGTGCAACCAAACACTCTAAACCAAAAAACCCATGCCATATCCAGTGCCCCCACCCACTGCATTACAAACTCCACCCCCACAGCAACCACCCATAGTTCCTTATCAGGTCTCCCACTTCCCCAACCCCAATATATCTCCCAGACCACTGTCTTACAAAAGAAGTTGAAGGTGTGGTACACAAATGCAGATGGAATAACAAATAAGTATGAGGAGTGGCATGGAAGAATCAAGGAGACATCCCCAGACATAATAGCACTCACTGAAACAAAACTCACCAGAATAATAACAGATTCAATCTTTCCATCCGGATACCAAATCCTCAGGAAAGACAGAGGGAGGAGAGGGGAAGGAGGAGTTGCACTGTTCATTAAAAACCAGTGGGGTTTTCAGAAAATGGAAAGACTGGATGGCACGGGCGAAAGGGACTACTTGGAACAATCTAGTCTGAGGGACATAAGGTGATAATTGCAGTAATGTACAACCCAGAACAGAACTGCAGGAGGCCAAGAGAATAATACGATGAGAGCAACAGAGCAATGGTCGACACACTAGCCGAGGTGGCCAGGAGAGCACACATGGGGGGAGCAAAGTTACTAGTTATGGGTGATTTCAATCACAGGGAGATTGACTGGGAAAACCTGGAGTCCCATGGGGGTCCGGAAACATGGAGGGCCAAGATGATGGATGTGGTACTGGAAAACCTCATGCATCAACATGTTAAGAGACACCACCAGAGAGAGAGAGGAGAGGATGAACCAGCAAGACCGGACCTTGTATTCACCTTGAGTAGTTCGAACATCGAGGATATAATGTATGAAAGGCCCCTGGGAGCTAGTGATCATGTGGTTCTGTGCTTCGACTACATAGCTGAGCTTCAAGTGGAGAGAGTAGCAGGAATAGGTTGGGAAAAAACAAACTACAAAAGGGGGAACTACTCAGGCATGAGGAACTTCCTGCAAGACATTCAGTGGGAGAGGGAACTGACAGGAAAACCAGTACAAGAAATGATGGACTATGTGGCAACAAAATGCAAGGAGGCAGAGGAGAGATTTGTTCCCAAGGGAAGCAGAAATAATGGGAAGAGCAGATCGAGTCCTTGGTTCACCCAAAGGTGTAGGGAGGCAAAAACTAGGTGTACTAGAGAATGGAAAAGGTACAGAAGACAGAGAACTCAGCAAAATAAAGAGATTAGCCGAAGAGCCAGAAACGAATACGCAGAGATAAGAAGGGAGGCTAAGCGACAATATGAAAATGACATAGGGTCAGATTTGGCTTTCGATGCTAAGTTGTTGTATAGCCACATCAGGAGGAAAACAACAGTCAAGGACCAGGTAATCAGACTGAGGAAGGGTGATGGGGAGTTCACGAGAAATGATCGAGAGGTATGTCAGGAGCTCAACACGAGATTTAAAGAAGTATTTACAGTGGAAACCAGTAGGACTCCAGGAAATCAGAACAGGGAGGTACACCAGCAAGTGCTGGATGAGGTACATATAACCAAAGAGGAGGTGAAGAAGCTGCTATGCGAACTTGACACCTCAAAGGCGGTGGGACCAGACAACATCTCTCCGTGAGTCCTTAAAGAGGGAGCAGAGATACTGTGTGTGCCATTAGCAAATATCTTCAACACATCAATTGAAACTGGGCAACTCCCTGAGGTATGGAAGATGGCAAATGTAGTCCCAATTTTTAAAAAGGGAGACAGACAAGAGGCACTAAACTACAGACCTGTATCACTAACGTGTATAGTATGCAATGTCATAGAGAAGATCATCAGGAGGAGAGTCGTGGAGCACCTGGAAAGAAACCAGTGTATAATTGACAACCAGCACAGTTTCAGGGAAGGAAAATCCTGTGTCACAAACCTACTGGAGTTTTATGACAAGGTGACAGAAGTAAGACAAGAGAGAGGGGTGGATCGACTGCATTTTTTTGGACTGCAAGAAGGCCTTCGACACAGTTCCTCAAAAGAGGTTACTGCAAAGCTAGAGGATCAGGCACACATAACAGGAAAGGCACTGCAATGGATCAGAGAATACCTGACAGGGAGGCAACAACGAGTCATGGAACGTGACGAGGTGTCAGAGTGGGTGCCTGTGACAAGCGGGGTTCCACAGGGGTCAGTCCTAGGACCTGTGCTGTTCTTGGTATATGTGAATGACATCACGGAAGGGATAGACTCAGAAGTGTCCTTGTTTGCAGATGTGAAGTTAATGAGAAGAATCAAATCGGATGAGGATCAGACAGAACTACAAAGAGACCTGGACAGGCTACAAGCCTGGTCCAGAAATTGGCTCCTTGAATTTAACCCTGCCAAATGCAAAGTCATGAAGATTGGGGAAGGGCAAAGAAGACCGCAGACACAATATAGTTTAGATGGCCAAAGACTGCAAACCTCACTCAAGGAAAAAGATCGGGGGGTGAGTATAACACCGAGCATATCTCCTGAGGCGCACATCAATCAGATAACTGCTGCAGCATACGGGCGCCTGGCAAACCTACGGATAGCGTTCCGATACCTCAGTAAGGATTCGTTTAAGACTCTGTATACCATTTACGTCAGGCCCATACTGGAGTATGCAGCACCAGTTTGGAATTCACACCTAGTCAAGCACGTCAAGAAATTAGAGAAAGTGCAAAGGTTTGCAACAAGACTAGTCCCAGAGCTACGGGGATTGTCCTACGAAGAAAGGTTGAGGGAAATCGGCCTGACGACACTGGAGGACAGGAGGGTCAGGGGAGACATGATAGCGACATATAAAATACTGCGCGGAATAGACAAGGTGGACAAAGACGGGATGTTCCAGAGAAGGGACACAGACACAAGAGGTCACAATTGGAAGTTGAAGACTCAGATGAATCAAAGTGATGTTAGGAAGTATTTCTTCAGTCATAGAGTAGTCAGGCCGTGGAATAGCCTAGAAAGTGAAGTAGTGGAGGCGGGAACCATACATAGTTTTAAGGCGAGGTATGATAAAGCTCATGGAGCAGGGAGAGAGAGGACCTAGTAGCAGTCAGTGAAAAGGCGGGGCCAGGAGCTATGAATCGACCCCTGCAACCACAAATAGGTGAGTACAAATAGGTGAGTATACACACACACACACACACACACACACACACACACACACACACACACACACACACTGGAAAGTTGAGAAACTTAAGTGACAAAATTCTGAGAACTAGACATTACGAGCATTACAACAATATAAATTGATAATCAAAACCAGGTAAACAACTGCTTCTCGGTTGCTGTTCTGTCCAGGAAAGTTGTTCACAGGTTGCATATCTCCAGTCCTCTGTCACTAAATGCACCTGATAGAAATTGAACAAAATAATGCAGAAGTTTTCCATGTGAATAAATATTGGCAATGAAGATTTGAAGCCAAACAAAAGAGGCATTTACAGTTACCATAAATAAACTAATATGTCAATTTTGTCAATAAAAATGCCAACTAAGTCACACCTTCCACTGGGAAACACCGTCACACAAACTTAGTTTGAAGCAGCTCGGAAGTTGATTTATCACGTTATCAGCACTGTAGTGTTAAAATCAATCAGATTAAGCACTCAGAAATTATTGCATGAAAAAGACAGTATTTTAGTTTTCCAAATTTCTTTCATAAAAGCTAAAATTGGGACCTTTACAGGCGAAAATCAATTAAAATTCACCAGCGTTTAAG